ATATAATATACTTGTATACATGCATGTACACATGCACACATTAACACACACACACACACACACACACACACACATATATATATTTATATATATATATATGTATGTATATATATATATTCATGTATGCATATATATATTTATGTATGCATATATATACATATACATGGATATATATATATCTATCTAAACATATACATATATTGATATATATACATATCTCCACATATATACTTATATTTGGGAGAAAACATATCTAAACTTAAACTTGAGCAAGACGTAGTGCAGTCGCGGCTGATGAGCTGAATATAGCATCGGTTTCCAGAATCTTAGGTGTGCAAACTAAAAATACTGTTTGGCCTCTCTAATCATATATTAGCCAACTTTCTCTGGTCGAAAATAAAGCCACTAAGCAAGCACGGTGAATACCACATGTTTTGTGTGTTCTGCGATTGGAACTGTCTGTCGATACTCTTGCTTCATTCACAACTAACAATAGGTTTCCTCTAAACGCGGCCCTCTGTGTCATTCGTTGCGTAGCCAGTACATCGCATGGTTGCGGATTAACACACTAGTAGAAGATGTATGCCGACTATTTGTATATCGAAAGTGCGAAGACATGCCCAAAACGATAGCCTAAGGGCGGTCGTATATGGGTAACAGTGTGCGTGGCTGTCAACTTGATCCTCTCGCTCACACACGCGCTGACTCGATTGGCGAGCACACGCATACTCGAGAAACTATACACAACCGCCACTCAACCGATACATTACACGAGCCTATGCGAAGCAATGCGAAGCAGCCAAGGCAGACCCACCAGTCACCACCCGCCTCTGGTGCTTGTTCTGTGTGGGCTGTGCCTTGTACGGCTGACCCCGTGCCTCGATTCGCAATTCCAAGGTTCGGGTCATGTTTCATAGCGTACATACGAGCACATGATATATGATGGTGTGCTGTCACTACAACGTGCATGCCACTGTTTCCTGATCAACTCAGATGCGATTTCGAATAGATCACACAATACCACAGTCTCTCTGTACTGCCGCCTGTGCGTTTGTTCCTCCTTGACTCGGACAACATACTGTATACACACACATCCACTCGCACATGTATGCTTACGCACTCCTATATGTATTTGTACACATTCAACCACACCCACCTAAGCAAATATGCATACACAAGCTTATATGTCCTTGCATACATTCCATCTCTCACACATACACACATACATACACACATACACACATTGCAACCAGAACTCAGAACAAACTTACATTCCAAGGTTCCCTTCTTGATCCATGCCGGTCCACCAGCCTTCATCAACCGCCTCTATGTGGTAGATGTAATCGTGTTCATTAAACGATATCTCCGTCTCATCGGTTGCTGTGTAGTCGTACTGGGCTATCGCATAGTAGCCATACTCCTCTAGTGGGAACGACGTTTCAAGACATGAGTGAGTATGAGTGTATTGAAAGTCAAGGCCTGTGTGAGCAGTGTAATACAACGTCCCTGTGATAGATGCAGTCGAGCTCATTAAACGACAACTGTTGGGAACGACGGTTCAATTGGCGCGTGAGTGTGTTCGGGTGCCTATGCGATCGTGTTCCATGAACGATACCCGTCTCATCGGTTGCTGTGTAGTCGTACTGGGCTATTGAACAGTAGCCATACTCCGCGAATAAGAACGATGTTTCAAGCCGTGATTGATGCATATTGTATTCTGCTTCGCCTCCACACTTCTCTGATTAACCTCTACCCATAAACTAAAAACTAACATCGTGTATACATGGACACATGAGCAAACATATCGATGGTTGACACAGACATATATACATACAACACACAGGCATATATATATACAACACACAGACATATATACATACAACACACAGACATATATACATACAACACACAGGCATATACATCCATCCTCCTCCGCTTGCGTCACCTCAGCATTTCTCTGCTCTGTAGCATCCCAGGCACTACCAACACATACATGTACACACATGCGCATACACATCTACAATTACATACACATCAAAGCCACAATTTACATACACACCCACACCCACGCATACATACACACATATGCACACACACATCCACGGTGGCATACACACACACTACAGCCATAACACACATACCCAGCTCCTTGTCCGCGTCCCCTTCTCCTTCGTCCACCGCCTGCTTCACCTCAGCACTCCTCTGCTCAGCCTCCACCGCCGCAATGGCCGCCATCTCGTCCCTCTCCTTGCTTTCCTGCTCCGCTAACTTGCGCATCTCCTCGTCTCGCGCGTGTGCTTCTTGGTCACGTTGTAGCTGTTCAGCAACCCTTTGTGCCTCGTCACGTGACCTCTGTTCCCGCTCTTCCTCTTCGCGTGCCTTGCGCTCGGCATCTTGTTGGGCCAACTCTTGCAGACGGGCTGCTTCGGCCCGTTCCCGTTCCTGTTCCTCTATACCGATACAGCACGCAGTTGATCAATGTATATATGGGTTAGAGACTATGGATGTTTATATATGCAGAAGTATAATGTGTATGATCCTTTCTTCGTCCCGTCCTCGTTCGTCTATACCGATACAACACGCAGTTGATCAATAGATATATGGGTCAGAGACTACGGATGTCTATATATGCAGAAGTATAATGTGTATGATCCTTTCTTCGTCCCGTCCTCGTTCGTCTATACCAATACAACACGCAGTTGATCAATAGATATATGGTGTAAAGACGATGGATGTCTATGGATACATAAATATAAAATGTATGATCCTGCAGGCTTCGTCGGCCCGATCCCGTTTCTTGGTAACAAAACAGCACGCGGTGGTTCAGTAAGATACTATAGTTGCAGAACTATGAGGTGTGTGATGTACTCAGATTGATTGACAGGTAGATGTACTGGTAACTATGGAGGTAGTAAGCTCAGAGACGATGAGTGCATAAATATACTTCACTTGCATCAGTACTCAAAGAGCGAGAAGTACATAAACCATACACACTCAGTTGATCAATAGACCGATAGTTTAGAGACTGTAGATGAAGAACTATAAGGCCACCACACACCAACACATCTGCATTTGCCCTTTCACTCGGCACTAACTGCAATACTGTATCCCGCTTACATACAGAAACAGACAGATATAATATAGACAGACAAATTTGGAAATATATAATAGAAAGAGACAAACACACACACACACACACACACACACCACACACACACACACACACACACACACACACACACACACACACATATATATATATACATATATACATATATTCATATATACACACATATATATATATATATATATATATCAGAAGCACACAAGTATGTAAACATGTATTAGAAACAGACAAATATGCAAACACACATTGCGAGCCCACCATTATTCGTACGGTATCGTGCGCGAAGCACTGCTTCCCGTCTTTACACTCTGCATAGTCCAATCTACACTAACAAACATAGCTGTATCCCACTCACACACAGGAAAATAGACCAATATGCAGGTACATCGCTCATACCCACCAGCACTCGTACCGTCCCCTTCACACAACTCTACTTCGTTCCACTGTACAACATACCACCCCCACTGCACCAATATCACTCCTCACTGTATCACACACACACACACACACACACTTTCCAAGCATACCTGCCTGTGCACGCTCACGTGCACGTAGCTCGTTTTGCTGCCTTTGCACTTCCCGTTCACGCTCAGCCTCAAGTGCCTCGGCCTCTGCACGTTCCCTCTCTCTCTGTTCGTTCTGTGCTTGTTCGTGTGCGGCTTGTTCCTCGAGGGCCCTCGCCTGTGATGCATGTGTGATGTGTAATGGTTTGTTTATGTGTATTTTATGAATGGATATAGTGTGTGTATAGATGTGAAGTAGAACTGGTACCGTATAGAAGTGAGTTAAAATAGCTATATATAGACTTAAAAACGTGAAACGAGGTATATCTGTTACCAGTACACGTACGAGAACAGACTAAAGTGTACCAGTTATATACACGTGTGCAAGTCAGTCACACGAACAAAATACCCCAACAAGCCTTGTCTAAACCAACCATTAGTTGTAAGCAAACTTACTACACCGTAGACACCTACAAACCCCACCACCCCTCCACACACCCTTACATAGTATTCACATCGCTACCCCATTACACACATACCGCTCATTCCCTAACCTCCTGTAGTACACTCACTACAACGAAGACACCCACAACCCCCCCGACCACCCCCCACCCCCACAGTAAGTAAGTACATCGCCAGCACTCATACACACATACCGCTTCTTCCCTGGCCGTCTGCTCGTGCATCTCTCGTTCACGTTCTTCCTTCTCCTGCCTGTCTAACTCTCTCGCTTCCTCCGCTTCCCGCGCCTTCCGTTCCGCGTCTTGGTGCATCCGGTCCTCGTTTTCTCGGGCTACCCTGTCCTGTTTCTCCTTGGTGTCCCGTTCGAGCTTCTCTCGGACGCGCCTTTCGGTGGCCTCGCGGTCTTTGGCTTCGACCTCGGCGCGCTGTAGCAGTTCCGCTTGTGCGCGTGCTTGCTCTTCTTTCTCTCTGAAGTCATAGTAGTAGCAGGGAAGTATGAGCTAGACGTACGAATACACATCTATGCAGTAACGGGATAATTGGTACTGTCGTTCTTCTCACGTGCCTTGTTTTTCGCTCTGTCACGGACTTCGTTGTGCCTACAAGTAAGCCTCTCTATTCCCGTCCGCATGGACTATGCCTTATACACACACACAAGTACCCACAACCATCCCACCCACATACCGTGCCATTCGCTCCGCCCTGACGGCTTCAATCTTCTCCCGTGCCTCCTCTTCTGCTCTGTCTCTGGCTTCGTTACCTCTGGTTGCGGTTCTGCCTACCGAGGGAGGCCTGCTATACGTAGCACTGGTGCTCCTGGAGGAAGAGGAAGACTTCGATGCCAGGGCTTTAGCGCTATCACCGTCACCACTGAGAGAAAAAGAAAGCGTGGCATTGTGTGATAGATACATATGACAGGGGTATAAGGTTTAGACTGGATAGTGTGTCGTGGATACGCATGGTAGTCAGAAAGCTGTCGGCGTGCGTCTCGTATTGGCAGGTGTTAGGACCAGAGAGAAAGGTACCAAGTCGAGTCCATAGACCTATATATATATCACAATATATCATAATATATATCACAATATATATCACAATATATATATATACATATATACATACATACAAATATATATATATATATATATATATATATATAGTATATATATATATATATATATATATATATATATACACACGTACTATATATATATATAATATATATACATATATGTATGAGAACATTTCGAGCATTTATGTACTAACAATAGACTACGTGAGTCTGCAAGCGGGAGAAGATGGTCCAATAAATGAGTACTCGTACCTCAACATATGCACGTGCGAAGTTGTACGTTTTATAAACATGATTCATATCGCGCAGCCGTATCACCAAATACAAAAGCCTATAAGCTGCTTCACACCAATTGTGTGCATTCAAAACCACCTTCGTGTTAAATGCTATAAAATCGCAAATATGTTCCATCTCCATCTCCAAAGCATTGGATGGGCCAGCTTCTACCCCCCCCCCCACCAGTCGAACACACACAGAACTCTATACATACAGGTACCCATACCTCCAGTTCACTTGCGAGCCCGTATACGTGTGTTTGAGACCAGAGTTAGCTCTCCGTGGTGGTGCATCGGAGGTCACTTGCGAGCCTGTATATGTGTGCTTAAGACCTGTATCCGCGGACCGGGTAGACGCTTTGGGGCTCTTCTGCTCTGACGTTTCCTTCGCGGGTGTCGGGGCTTTGGTTTCGGCAATCGCCTCGACCTCGACCGGCGCTGGCTTCTGATAGGGATACAATTTGAAACAATCATCAGACATCTATTTATAGAAAGACGGTGGGAGTATAGCCAGATATGCCCCCATCGGACAACCGGATGATCCGTCACCCGAAGAGCCGGACAACAGGGCGAATGCATATAGCAGCTGATAGAAAAAATTCAATATCACCAGTGAATTACTGGCGGGACGTATACTCGTGCGCCCCAGAGGGGGTTTGTGTAACACTAACAAGCAACATCAGCTATCATTCGCAAATAAGGTTGCTGCATATTCTCAAAAATAGAGATTTTTGATTTTTGATTGGAGTCTCTTTCGTGCTCTACAAAGAACTAGGAATGACGCCACACACACATCTACACAAAGCCGTTACAATACAGAAGAATATAGTCACCGAAGTACCCAGCTACTTCGACTACCATGCGCACAGAAACACACATGCCGAGAGAAACAAAAGAATATATATATATATATATACATATAATAC